AGCTTATAGAAAGGTAGGGGCAGCAGTTGGTAATGGCAATGGTCCAAAGTGCTTGGTTCTGGTCAGTGATTCACGGGATCTGACATTGGTCAGTGATTTGTGCTATGGACCTGGCCATTGATTCACAAGGTATAGCGCTGGCCAATGACTGATGGTATGGGGTTATTCAGTGATCAACATGGTGTGGTGCTGGTCAATAGTTCACAGGGTATGTGCTATTTAGTGATCAGCAGGGTGTGGTGCAGTCCAATGAACCAGAGCGCAGGGCGCTGACCGAAAAAAGCTTGTGATAGCGGTGTTTGGTGTTATGGGTTTGTCGATAACGTGGTGGCCATCTTGCGCCATTCTGAAAGACGCCATCATGGTCACAGTTGTGTGGTTAAAAGGAATGCTGCCGCATTTGAAGATGGTGAGGGAAGCAATCAGATATGATGAAAGAAGCTCACTTGTAACTGTTGTGTGCTTTCAATTGCAAGAGCTTGCTCTAGGCAACACAATGTTGCTATTCATGCGGCATCGTTCCGGTGCGTCATCTAAGGTGTTTGCGATGTCAGAGTTGTTGTCGGACTGTCCGTACGAGACGTGCCACTTTCGGCAGACGGGCTAACTCTCACGTGGTGCGTTAACTTGCTGGGCGGAGTGGTTTGTTATCCTTCACCCATCTTCACTCACATGCTTAGTTCGGAGGCGTTATCCTTAATTTGTTCGAGGCGTGCCGGTAGTGTAGTGGTTAACGCGTCTGCGTTAACCACTGCGCGTCTGGGAAACCAGAGGTACGGGTTCGATTCCCGTGGTGCCCGCCCCTCCTGCCAGGATGAGAGGCAGGCGACGCCATACAGCCTCAGCAGCTGAGTGCGTCGTAAAGCCCCAATAACACACACAACACATAAGTTATTCGACTTCCAGTCTTATTTCCGTCATGTTTAGAAACTACTACCCAAATTCGTATACTATGTTTCCAAACCGCGGCTCGTATTCGGCACTTCCACTCGATGCATTGAACAGGTTGAAGGGCAATTGCTGTCTGGTGATGCCATGAGTCGTACGACAGGCATGAATAGTTCAATGATTCAGATTTGTCTTGGCCTTGAGCACTACATGGCCATTGAGGTGGCGGTAGTTGCGTGGCGTTTCCATGACCGCACGCATCCCTGGGTGACCTTCAGATAGGCTGCGCGAAATAGTCCGCACAAGCGCACGGTTATCAAGCTCGGGCAAAGTGAATTTGGTCTTAAGAATCGCAGAACTGTGAATTGTAATTGCATGATCTTCCAAATGGCTAATCTCATTTCAAACAACCCCATACAAGTGTGCAACACTCCCTTTCATTGTCAATGGTCAATTGGTTTTCGAGGTCGGATCGTTCTAATGCCGTGACGTGGGAATGACGTCACAGCCACTAACCAATAGGGTCATTGTTTCCAGCAGGGGCCGGCGCAAGACCCGTGGAAGCCCTGCCTTGTAGTGCCTGTCCCTGGACTAGGACCTCTGGGCTGGACCCCTGGACTAGACCCTTGCACTGGACCCCTGGTCTGGACCCTGGCCTGGACCCCTGGACCCCATGGCCTGGAACCCTGGACTGGACCCTTATACTGGACCCCTGGGTTGGGCCCGTGAACTGGACTAACCCATAGACGCCAGATGGTTGGTGCGTCTTAAGCCCAAATCAGCATCAGCACCGGACAAACCCGAAGCAGCGGGCCACAGCGTCCAGCCACCACGAGTGCCGCCCTCTGCCTCCACTCGACAAGGACATTGACCACACCGTCCTGCGACCGGCCCCCAGCTGGCGGCCCTGACCACCTGACCTTGTGCGAGCCAGGTACATAGCGCGCCAGGAGGCGGAGGCGGCCCGCCTGCGCGGCGCCGCCGCCCCCCGCGGTCCGGCCGGCCGGCGGCCGCGGCCGCCTCCCCGGCTCGAGGCCATCGTGGCGGCGCAGCGTGAAGAGGCGGGCCAGTTCAGCCAGGGCTGGTTTCGGTGAGTGGTGGCGGCCGCGGTGGTGGTGGTGTATTTTCTTCCTTGGGAGGGCAGGAGAGGTTACGAATGGGAGCCACGTAGCTCCCATGACTTGCGCGGCTCTGCCAGAAGCTGCACGGGGACCCCGGGTCCCGCCACGATTTCATGTTGTTTTTTTTAAACCGGCCTACGAGCTTGATGTGTGCATTTTTGTAACTCACCACGGTTTGACTGTTGATTTTTATTTTAACCCATTGTGGTTTGATAAGTACTTTTTTGGCGGAGGTGGCGGAGCAACTCGGCTGTCGCCGGCAGTGCTCGGGCGTGCCACTCGTGTCCCAGGAGGACCTGGTGAAAGTTGACGAAAATATCAACAGTTTTGGTTCGGGATTTTTGGCTTCATTTTCGGCTGGCACTCTCTAGCGCAGTGCACAACGCTGGTGCCCTCGTGTCACTAGTAGCACTGAAACTTCGTGGTTCACGACATGTAACGCTTACCTTCCATGGCACAGTGCATAATACTGGTGCCTTCGTGTCGCGTGTGACGGTGGTACTCCGTGGTTCATGGCATGTAATGCTTACCCTTCCTAGCGCAGCGCACAACGCCGGCGCCCTCGTGTCGTACTCCATGGTTTATGGCATGTAATGCTTACCCTCCGTGGCGCAGTACACAACGCTGGCGATGTCCAGTGTCATGCGCGTCACGCCGGTGTTTTCTGGTGCAGAGTGCGTGGACCTGACCAGCGAGGAGGCCGTGCTCTGGCTGCGGACCTGGGACGGGCAGGTGAAGCTCGTGCCGCAGGTCAAGACGCGCAAGTTCATCAGGGGACGCCTCGCGGACCCGGCCGAAAGTTCCGCCTCCAAAGATGGCCAAGAGATGGCAGGAGACGTTGACGATACGCCCCCGCCTGTTGACGGTGATTCGGGCATGTCTGATAGCTAGTGAATATATCAGGGAAGCAACCGCCTGTTTTCCGCTGGGTACGGTGTAACATCGCCCCCAAATGACGTCAGTTGCACGGCAACATACCACAAACGAGCAACACCGTAGCAGCACAGGTGGCGCGAAATCGTGGAGGGTGATTATACAGACCGAGCAAATTGCGGCAGGGCAGTGTTTTGTGTGAAGAGCCCCCGCCGTCCGGCTCACAGTTCATTGTCTTTGCCATGTAACCGCGGCAGGGCAGTGTGGTGCGTTGGAGGCCACTGCTGTTACGCATTCGGTTTGTCGCGTCTTTGCCATGTACGAAGCGTGGCATCTTCGCCGTATCACACACGCGGTCGGTGTCTGAAACGCCACCTCAGCTAGTACCGGGCTTATATTATATAAAAGAAGTACTAAACGGGCACACAACAATGCGGGCGGCGGGGAGCGGGGAGCGGGGGACAACACACGGGCCGGCCGCAAGAGGCGGCGGCACATTGTCGGGGTCACATGCAACACAACCGGGAGAGAACGGAAAAAGTTCGTCACAACACGTCCGAGATTGACCCCGCTAGCGCGCCGCAAATCCGGTCTCGCGTGAAAGTGCTGTGATTTCGACGGTGTCGGAGCGACCTGTGCGCGCCTCGGCCGCAGACCTCGGGTTCTATCCCGCGGCGAGGCGTTCGAGACGGGCCCGTGCGCCCGCGCAGTGCGTTTCAACATCGCCCGCCCCGCGAGCGCTCGGCCTCACGGCTGCCCCCGGGGTCTCGCGCTGGCAGGGGACGAACGCAAGCGACGCTAGGCGCCTTAGCGAACCAAACCTGACATCGGCACTAATATTCCTGACTTTCGATCGGAATTCACGGCTTAACGCCTTGGTGCGAACGTGACAGCGCGGGGGTCTGGACACGCGAAGGCCATTCAAAACGCGTTGCGGGCGGCGTGGCGTCCGACCCGCAAAGCGGAAGACCCCGCGATAAAACCAAAGCCCGGTCCTTACACCACGCTGCGATCTTTCTTTACGTGCTGCCTAACTGTTCGGAGCGAGCCTCCTTTTTGACAGACCTGACAGACCCTCCTTTGACAGACCTGGTGGCGCCTGAAGACGCCACCAGAGCGCAAACGAGTTATCCCATCGACGACGCGTTTCTCCTTCCCCGCCTCAGGGAACTCACCGGTACCACATGCCGGAGCAAAACACAGGACAGCGTGCGTGCGGCAGCGAAACGAACGGCTCCCGCCGAGGCACCACACGTGATAAGCCCGGCTTTCTGCACACGCAGAGCACTCGCGAACTAACGCGCGCATGACAATGGCAGATCGACGCGTTAAGCACGAGCGCATTTTCTGTGCGACCTGACCTGGCACACTCCAGATCATGGCATCCTTCTCCAGCGTTGTAGTGAGTGTAAGCACTAACCTACTGAGACTACCCGCTAACATCTCGACATCACATTGAGAGAGCATTTCATGGAATAGCGTGTTCTCTTGGCAGGGGGCTCCACCGCCCCCACGTGACCGCCCAGAGCACGTCCAGACGACACCTCGCGGTGCCACCACACTCATGCCCACGTCCTCAAGTCGCGCACAGCGTGATCTTCAGACCGAGCAGCGGCCGCGCCGGCCCAACGCAGACGCCTGGCGACGCGCGCGGCGGGACGGTGCCGGCGTCCCTCCGATCGCCGGTGGAGATTCCGTCCGGCGGCACCATCGACCGCGACCGCGTCACGCCGCGGCCGCGCCGCCCCGGTCCGGCGGGTCACGGGGTCTTCAATGGGCGCCTGTGAGGGTGAGTTACGGCGGATGCCCCGGCCACGGGCTGTCGCGAGGTTGCATGGCCTCAGGTGTGGCCTCCGAGGCCAAGGAAGCGACCTCAGAGGTCACGGCCGGGTGAGAGCTCGCGACAGTGCGTCAGTATACTATTTTCTTGGTGACGGCAGTGCCCCCGGGACGACGGTGGTCGTTCCAAAAGTCGCCCAACGACATCCGGTCAGGCGGCGGCCCGGCCGGTCCAGCAGCGACTTCCGAGATAACTCGCATCTCCCAGCGCGGCGGCCCCAAGACCGACGACAGGTCGCCGCGGCGACGCCGAGTCCGCAGCGGCGACCGCTCGTCACGTCGGTGACCCCGAGGTCAGGCCGGTGACCCTGAGGTCACCGCGTGACCTCAGAGGTCGAGCGGACCGGCCGGGGGGCGGGCCGCCTGCAGTCGCTGTCAGCGGCCCCACTTGGACTTCTGCGCGAATATATCAGCGCGCAGGTTCTGCGCGAAGCAGATGCCCAAAATCTGCAAAGGACGCGGTGGACTGTAAACCCGCTCTCCCTATCGGGGGGGGGGGGGGGGGGGCGCCGCAGATATAGCCGACGATTGGCACGACCGACGTGTGGATGTGACATCTGGGAATCGGACGCGGCAGAGGAGTCGCCTGGGTCGTCGCCGGCATCGGCGGCACTGAACTGGCTGAACGTTCAACGGGAGGGCGTTTCACTGAGAAACGCCTCTGACCGCGCTTGCTGCCTCTACGATGTGGCCATCATATCCAAAGCGAGACGATGATGCGGCGCACAGATTTCAGTTGACTGCATTCAGGGGGAGAGGAGCCCCGTCCTGGCAGGACACGGCCGTACGCAATGATCGCGGCCCGAGTTGTCGGTATACTTACAGTGTACTTACAGTACAGAGTACAGTCGAGCCAGCACAACGCGCGATCTTTGCTGTACAGACAACTCATACACATGACACAGATGCGATACGCCAATACAATGAAGGGTAAAGAGGCAAGCACACGATGCGCGAGCTTATTTTGAAGTGAAGGTGCTGTACAGTCTCACCTGAACGTGGCCGCATGCACGCCCACTCACAGGTCTGCTTCTTACCGTACTCGGTGAGAAAACGCCTCCAAACATAGTATTAGAACCTTATCTGCCGGCTTATCGACTGGATCAGTCATCAGTAATGCCACAACGCACTGGCGAGCGCAGCCAGCAAAAGTTCCCGCGACTAGCTTCGTACCCGGGACCTTTGGCTCACCTGCAGGAAGGCGATACTCACGGCCACACTGGCCACAACCAGCAGATTACGCTCGACCCACGCTTCGCCAGCCGTCAGGCATCCCTGGTCGTATATCTTCTTGGAGTAGTCGAGCGGCTGAAACGGCCCACACGCTCAGCCATTGGTCGGAGCGACACTCGGCCGCCGCTGATTGGGTGCACAGCTGGCCGCTGGCGAGCGATTGGTCGGAGCGTCGCGGCCCGGTCGATGAGTGGTCCACGGAGTTTGCACCGGCCGATGGTTGGCGGGTCACGCGCCACTCGACCTCTGATTGGTCAGAGGGCTCGCGCGCCTGCACGTCATTGGGATGGCGAGCCAGTCGTCTGCTTTTGGTCGAGGAACTTGATGGTGTCCGGGAACTGGCGAATCACTACCACCACCTCAACGCGCAGGACCTCCGTGAAGGAGCAGGCAATCATGCGGGAAACCGAACGCAGCAGCACGCGGGCATCACAGCGTGCGGCCCAGTGCCCATCTGGCAGACACGCCCACATGCTGTTAGCTAGCGTGCCTCGTGCAGCCCGGCCCGATGCCAACCCGCACGATCACACCTGCCCGGCAGATCCCTCGTGTCGACGACATTGGCGACCCTCCGCGCAGCAGCGTCGTGACGCGTAAGCAGCCGGGCTGCGAGCGTGGGCCTGAAAACCTTCCCGTCGATCGGTGGACAGAGCGATCCTCGCCGCTGTTGTACCTTCTAGCGCTGCGGCAGCTTTCAGCCGGGCGGGCGTAAGGGACGAAAATAATCACGAAAGGAGCCTTCTACCGCTCTGGCAGCTTTCAACCAGGCGGCCGTCGGAGATGAGAATGATCACACAAAGTGATCCGAGAAGACCTCAGCCTCGGTGTTTGGCTTCGGCGGGGTTTCAGTTTCACTTTGTGGCTTTTGACGTGCCTCGCGCGGCGTGCCAATCCGCTGTTGTCATGAGCTCTGCAGGCGAGGCGAGGATTCTGCGGCATCATTTTCGCGACGTCGTCCACATCTTGGCTCGCCACATGTTGAACCTTTCCCTCCAGATGCTCGGATGCCTGATGCACAGACGCGCGGACACGTGGCGCACGACTGTGAAAGTCGACGGAGAATCCGGCACGTTCGAGACGAGTTGACTCAAAACACAGTGCCATCGGCGGCACCACACCACACCACGTCCCAGTCCGGTGTCTTCCGCCTTCCGAGTTTTGGGCCGATGCCAAACCTCGACCGCGATGACCGCGCCCACGGTGGGCTGTTCATAAGGGTCAGCGGATGCGCCGTGCTGCTCCCGTTCTTACACGCTCCGGAAGTTGGATTGTAGCTATCGGGAAACACGACAATACATACAGAATACTTCAACAGCAGCTCAACCAACCGTCCGAGGGACTGCCCTATTTTGCACCAGTTTAAGAGATGCAAACTTGACCGGTCATTGGACCTGCTTTATTCGTGCTCTAGTGCCGCGAGGACCATGCACGCCCCCCCCCCCCCTCCTCCCACCAAATAATAAACAAGGAAAATAAGGGCCGAACTAGGACCATGAATACACTAAACAGACGACCGAAGACACATCCACTCAAGTTTCCCGCCACCATCGCCAGCCCGCACCCGTAAACGTTAGCACCCGTAAGAAGTTCATCGGTGCCCCCCTCCCCCTCCGTCCCGATAGAGCTTGCCTTGAGGGGGGGGGGGGGGGGCTACGGACGGTCCGACCGGCGTCACCTACCGTCAAAGCCGCTCGCCGCGGCCGGTAGTGGCGGCGGCGAAGTGCGCACGGAGCGAGAAAAGGACACGGCCACAGGCCGGCGCCGCGGTTAGCTGCTCGAGGTCGAGAGCGAGCGAAAGAGAGAGACTGCAAAAAGGACTACAAGGGACGCGAGTGACGTCACAGAACGGTAAGATGTTGCGGAGCCCATTTGTGCCAGCAGCATGCTGTCTGATAGCACTTCTGCGCCGCGTTGGTATACAGCCAAGCAGGTACGAGCGACGAAACCATAAACAAAACAAATCACTTGCGTCACAGATGGCGCCAGTGATGACACAGAGGAAACAACGCAGGCAGAAAATGGAGGAAACGGCGTCCATATACAACATACAATACAAACCAACACAAAAAGCCCGACCAGACCGAGGAGCATCAGCAGCCGATGAAAGAGGGCTTCAAAAAGCGAATCCCGCCAACAGACCAAACAGAAAGCGACTAAAAGATGAAAGAGACCGTTCCCGAACGTCGCCCGGACGGAGAACGTCGCCGAACCGTCGTCCTCGGTCTACAACGTCCGGGACGAAGCATACTTTAGCCTGCAAAATCAAAGATGCAACACCCAAGATGCCTCACTCTTACCCTACATCAAAAATGCAACGGCCTTTAGCTACTACAGCTAGAGTGGGCGCGTCTCAGCCGTAGAGGCGGACGCTCCGAGGTCGCACGGTCCAGAGACGGAGAGCCCGGAGAAGGCTGCGGCGCAGCACACTGCGCCCTACCCGAGTGTACCTGCAGAACGGCCAGGGCCACCGTGGCGCCGGCTATCGGCACCAGATTGCGCTCCACCCAATCCTCGCCGGCGCGCAGGCAGCCGCGCTCGTAAATGACGCCGCTCCTGTCACCCAGCTGCGGAAGCGCAAGTGCACGGGCCGCCGTTAGGTGGCAGCGCGGTGTCGGTGAGAGCAGCTGCGGACTCCGCATCCGGAGGCATGCGTAGGCGTTTTTCGACCCGGTCAATGCACAAATTAGTAGACTGCTAAGTCACACTGCATTGCAGCATTCTGTCACCGTGTATGGCATCCCCTGGCATGCGTTAGTGATAGCGCCACCTGTTGGCATGCAAAGAACGCGAAGGCTTTCGCCACGACGCCAGACGGCAGCAGTGTGGTGGGTGCGGTTGGCAAGAAGCGGTTCCACACCCGTGACGGTCGTTGGTGAGGGGAGAAGCTAGGTGACCAAAGCAAACTGAGCCAAGGCGTGGTCCACAGAAGCGGACAGAGACGATTCAGAAGTGGGCCTCAGTTGCAAAGTGCTGGGGTCATCAGCCAACGACAAAACGACAACGCATTGCTCTGACCTCGCTTTGAAATCTTAACGCGGGAGATGAACTGGGGGGGGGGGGGGGGGCTCTAGGGGGATAACTGCTGCTAACGGTAGCAGCAACTATCAGTCAGTATAAAGGCTGTGCCATGGCCTACCAAATACGACCCCAATATGACACCCTTGCCAAATAGTATCATCCCTGCCAATCATCCCACACGCTGATTGAGTAATATATACGGCATGGTATATAAGCAGGCTTCGGTCGTACCAAAATCCACCCGCAATCGTAGTAGGCATCGATGCAGAGCACGCGTATAATTAAGCACACTCTTAGCAAAGTTTACAATAATACTGTGGAAGGGACACGTCAGACAGCTGCTAGAATGCTGGCACAGAAAGTGTTTCGTCCATACACAGCATCGCATAAATCACAGCAAACACGCTGTTTTAGCAAAAACTGTTTCGTGATCCGCGGTACAAAACGCACCAGCACAATGCACCCGGACGTTGACATGGACGGCGTACAAACGGATTCCACGGTGAATGCACTTTGCCTTATCATCACCCACACAATAACCCTTTTCACGCCTGACACCTTATCAGACATATGACAATGTGTCATAGCTAGGAGTGAAGTCATCACTTACGTAATCAGGACTTCTCACGCCGTAGCCGCATTGCTTGTTCCTGATGATCTCCTGTGGACGAGGATCAGAGCTGAGCTCAGTATCGCCCAAACGCAACATTTGAGAATCTGAGAATCGACCAATCGCAAGCCTTGAAGGACTGCGTGTCGACCAATCGCTTGCTTTGAAATGATGGAACCCTACCAATCACAAAGAGCTTTGGCAGTTATGATAATTATTGAGGCTTCACGTCTTTGCCAGGGCCATTTCAAGACAGGATGCATTCTTTAGGACTGCGACTTTAGGACTCCATGTGGACTGCGGTGGTGGCGTGGCTGGGACTCTAACCTTTGAGAGTCGCCCATTTGCAAGCTTCGCGGTGAGAGTCGACCAATCGCCTGCTTTTAAACGATGGAAGTCGACAAATCGCAAGAGCTTTGGCAACATGAGAGTCGTTCAATTAGTACCTTTGGCGGCGCGAGTCAAGCCATTAGAAGTTTTGGCAGCATGAGTCCGCGCCGGGCGCGGGAGCGCCTTTCTTCACCGGCCTTGGGTACCGCCAGAACCGGCGAGGCTCTTGAGCTCACCCGTTCAATGCAGCGATGAAAACCCAGCAATAACGCGTGGAGTTTGCGTCTCTTTTAGGAGGACCACGATCCTCTCAACCTCTGCATTGGACGGTTGCCTTCCGGAAATCAAGGCTGACGCTACTAAATAATGTGAAAACACTTGCGATTCCCCCTCCCCCCACCCACATGATCACACCACAGAGCACCACACAGTTACCATTCGAATGGCCCCCATCCCCACTGTGACCTTGGTGACCCGGCCGGCACGGGAGAGGGCAACACACTCACATTCTCCTCTGGGATGCAGCAGCTGAAGGGGACGCCGCAGGCCTCGCTGCTGCCGACGGCGACAGCCGAGCAGTTGAAGTAGCGGTTGCCATCCCAGTCCTTGGGGCCCTCCACGCCACAGCAGTGCAGCTGTGAATGGAAGATCGTGGCAGTTCAGGGCAGGGCAGGGCAGGGCACGGGAGGGCAGAGCAGGTAGCACGAACCAAGGCAAGTCGGGCAAAGGTAAGCTAAAAAGTAAACTGAGTTGGGTCAGAGCCACTCACATATCACCAGGTCAGATCACGTCGAATCAGGGACCAGGGTGAGTCAGGTTCGAGTCACTCACTTACCGTCATGCCAGGTGGGGCCCAGTCAGGTCAGATCAGGTTAGGTTACAGCAGAACAAACTAAGTAAGATTGAGGTCGCTCACATCGTATCTGACCAGATATGTTCGCATCGTGTCAGGTCAGATCAGGTCAGATCATGTTAAAAAGAGTCAGGTCAAGACACAGCAAAGAATTTCAGATGAACTATGAGCCTGCATGTCTAGTCACACTCTGATGTGACCTGATGTGACAAGGGACGGTCAGAGCATATAACATCAGGCCCAGCTGGACCAGGTAGTCAGACTTTTTAAGTTATGCAAATCAATATATTTCATTTAAGTTATTCATATCAGAGTTATGTCCCTTTTTTAAAGTTTGGTAGTTTCTAAGTTCTTTGTTATTATTATATATATAGCTGAAATTCAAGTTCCATGATATGGCGATGAACTACCTGAAAAGAAATTTAAAAAGTACACACAAAAATTGAAAAAATCAACCACAAAAATGCATGAATACAGAGAAGAAAATCAAAACAATACGTGAAATACAAAATAAACAAAAAGTAAGATAAAAGATTGAGCTAATGATGATAAAGGCCTACTTGGGCATGAGGCGATCCTGGAAAATCTCACACCAACACACAACCACACCACGCAGTTCCCCAAAAGATCATTCAGGGTAACTGTGTGCAGCCCCGGCACAATCATAAACAAACAACACGCTCCCGTCACCTAGATAAAGTTGTCGCCTCTTCGTATTGGTCACGTGACCGACACCTCAGCAGGGCCACGCGCCGTGGCTTTGTGATTGTTGGTCACGTGACCGAGGTCAAAGTCAGCTTGAGGTCAAGGTCGTTGTTGTCCATTGGTGTTTTCGGGCGCGTCGACTAAAGTGGTCATTTTGCGCCCCTTGAGGTCAAGGCCAGACTAGTCAGGTCATGTCGGGGTCAAGGTCAGGTGACCGAAGCTCAAACGCCGCGGCACGACCAGCATTCCAGGGCGGGAGAGTTCGCAGCCATGGGGACGGCCGTCACCGCCAGCCGCTCCCCGTTCAGGGAGCGCTCCGCCCGGAGCACCAGTTAAAAATGCAAGCAACGCATTGGTTGATCTGTGGGCAGCGTGTTAAAATGCAGCCATCGCAGTGGCTGATGGATGTGCAGCACGTTAAAACCATCTCGGTGAAAGGCAACACCGAGGTCATAACAACGTCAAAGCCCCGAAGGAGGCAAAATCAGCGGAAGATCCGTTTTATCGATGAGCAGGAGACCAAATTTAGAACAGTCCAAATTTGAGAATCAGAAATTGTCCGCCAGTGGTACCACTCCTCGACTAACATCCTGAGCGTTGATACGGTCAACACCTCACGCTGGGCTTAGTGGGGCGTCCAGTTCCGCCTGCGCCCCGCGCAAGCATCCTCACCCAGCCTTCCTGTATCCAATCGATGAGGTTCTGCTGGTCGGGATCGTCACGGTAGTGGACGATGAAGGCGCGGAAGCCCTCGGTGGCCTGCTCCTTGAACCAGTCCTTGAAGATGAAGCACAGGATGCCGCCCGTCATCTCCAGCAGCAGCAGGATCGCCAGGCAGATAGCGTACTGGGGGCGCCAGCGTCAGCCGGTCAGTCCCAGCGCCCGCACGTGTTCGCGTGGGAGCGAAACGGCGCAGTTGGCCGCCAGCTGGGCCATCGCGTGGGAGGCCCGGGTTCGATTCTCGGCTGGCGCCAAGACCTCTGGGTGCTGATGTGGACAGTGTAGTTGCTTGCATTCCAAACAATTGAGGATGACATCATGCTGCACCACCCTGGAAGAAAAAGCTTGCATGGGCTTGTTTACATATGATACAGAATAACCTCCCCTGATATAATCCTTCCCATCTGTCACTTCAATCAATCAGATATCAATAGTAAATGCCCATTTGGGAGCAACATGCCTCCACACTGACATGCCATTAAATGCCAAACTACTGCATAGGATAGACATAACTGCACTAAATTGGATACTGTGTGCACATTTGATGATGTTGCGCAGTGTATTTGTTATTCTGTGTGAGTTTAGGGAAGGCATGTTGACTAATTTATGCTCACTCAGAGCCATAGTATTTCTGCTCACTTCATAAGCTCTGGCCAGGGGTTTGCATTCTGACATTACCAGTAATCAAATTTTGAGACAAAGTTCATTGACTGAAAAGATGGACAAATATGTGGTAACAAGACCATGGCTCATAACAGGACACTACATGTTTATCACCAATGCAAAATGGCAGCAATGAGAATGACTACATAGATACGGCTATCACAGACCACTAATGAACAATGGTGAACAATGATTACATGTGTGCATCCCTCACTATGCAAGGGTGCTCATGGCATGGTGGTTCACATGTCTGCATTAGCCACTAAGCATCTGGGAAACTGGAGGCACTGGGTATGATTCCCTGCTGTGCCCATCCTTCATGTCAGGCTGAGAGACAGGTGATGATATACAGCCAAGTGCATGGGGACTGTTGACTGCAAAAGTCAAGCAGGGCCAAGGGACTGCAAAGAAATGAAGGGGCTGGGGGTGGGTCAGTGGGATGCCAATAGCTAGGGGGAAGGCTACCAATGTTCAGGAAGGCTTTTTGGGGGGAATATGAAGGTACACAGAAGAACACAAATCATAGCATTAGTTCCCCAGTGTTGAACTAAGCCCCTCTGACATGATGGGGACACAGACAATTTATTTGCTGATAATATACACCATGCTGAATCCTATTCCTTCTTGTAATATGCACTATGACAAACATTATTCCTACTTTGCTCTAAGGATCACTCAAGAACGATCATGCATGGTATGGAGCCCACAGTTATTATGAAAAAGCCTGTGTAACTTACAATCCCTTTGATGCATGCTGCATTTGGGTGAAACAAAACAAACAATGGAGAAACCATATGGAAAGTTGGAATTTTTCCTCCTTATATAACATGTTGTCATATCCAGCTCCCTATTCAAATAGCAATGAATTTCCCCATGTATTCTATTCAGCATCCCATACCACTACACACTGTGAACATAACCATGCAAAATTGACATGAACTCTCCAATTTCAGACAGGTCTTGACAAATGCAAGACTGCCCATCATGCAAAACTGGCATAGTAAAACTACATAACAAATGCAGAACAAAGGCACAGAAAGTGGTCATTCTAGTTACAACAAAAGAGCAATGGCCATTCAGACTATAATACAACAGCAAGTCACATTTAAATTGTAATAGAACAGTGGCAATTCAGATCATAATTACTGTAATTGAACCTAGGAAGAGGACCATAAGTTGACGTGAAGGACTCAGTGTGCTACAAACACACTTGCCCTGAATGCTCAAACCACATTTAACTGAAACTAGATCAGAATAAGGAACCAATAACATAACAAGTGAGGCAATATTTGATGTCTACTCATCAAGGAAAAAACTTTGGCGAACATTTAATGTTTTTCTAAGTTGACTTCAATGATTTTAAGCAGGCACACTTGTTGATAACTCAATGACAGAATTGGGGAATGGTAGGAAGGTGTAGAGTCTCAATATTTTCTATATAGTCTGTTATTTCCTATGAAGTCTCTATGTCTTTAGACCAAAAACCTGTTTCAACTTTGTTTCCATATACAAAGAAAAAAACCCATCAATCACAACAAAAAATCAGCACACAACAATGGAACCAGCAAACAACCTGCTTTGAATTTGAATCATCAATGCAAAGTCAGTCACCTAATCAAGTTTCCACAAAGCAACAGAATATCTGTGTGAACAGTGGTTACTCACGAATGCCAAGAGGCAGGTGTTTTCACGCAATGCTCCCACACATCCTGTGAAGCCGATGATGAAGGTGATGGCACCAACAATGATGAACATGAAAGCTGGATCCATTGGGATGTGTGTCAGCTTGCTGAGGTTGTTGAATGTGTTCTTCTCTGACCATGCCCACACACCGATTGCCAGGATGGAGAATCCCAAGAACTGTGAATCAGTCAAAAACAGTCAGTGCGATTGGCTTCCACAAAATTTGTATTGCAAGCACATTCTCAACCAAGTGATGCACCTTACTCTGTATATACATCTGCATGTATAACACTCTTTTGCCTGTCTTTGTCTTTTGTTTCATTGTAACACAACACAAGTTATTCACTGGAAACGAGCATATGTCAAAGAGTCATCAAATACTTCACCCTGCCTTTGTTTCCGTGAAGTCAATGTCAATATTTGAGTACTCACCCAAAATATTATATTAAATCCAAAAATAACATATTTTAAACAACAGCTGACTTCCGTTCGGTCACGCCTGTGTCTATGAGATGGCATAACTGGGAAGATTTCACAGCCTTCAGGGACTATACATAAAATCAACGGCCTCTTCTGGTTAACACACTTATGGTGTCCTTAGAACACTCAGCCAACACTTCACACAAAGCGCAGATCACTCAATCAACGCCCAACAATCGCTATGCGCCGCCTGTTGCGAGGAAAACAATGCGCGACATGGACAGAGAACACCCAAGGAAGGGCATAAATCAAGGACACATGAATGGAAACGAAGGTGTCTGGCTCCCCAGCAGGAAAATGGTGATTTAGCTGCATTGTTCTCGTAACGTTTTCGATTTTGCCAGTTATTTAGCATGCCTGCAATATTAAAGCATACAGGGCACGGGTGTCGATTGACATTATTTTGAGAGCCCTGCCCCCCCCCCCAATGTTAAGTTGAGCCCGCCCAGGTTGACTCAGCTTCCCCCAGGTTTTTGGCGGGAATGCTACAAAAAAATGTGGGTAAAAGATGATCATAACACAAAGACTATATATATATATATATATATATATATATATATATATATATATATATATAATATTCTTTGATCTCGCGGCGAAGTGGCGTCTCTTGCCACTCTCATAATCAAAAAATCACGGCTACTCTCACCATAAGATACAGATCGTCACAGCTAAGCGGATAAACAATGCAATAAACATTCCTAGCGCCATTAGACAGCGCGGTGAAAAGCTCTGAAGATGAGGATGGCCTGAATCCTTCATGGATAACCCCGTTCCCGTCCCCCCACAACCGAAATGCGTGCCGCCTCCCATGACCGCCAAAGAAGAGCGTCACCTGTGGCCTAAGGTGGCCTCTAAAGCGGCGCCTTCGTGTGTCGATCAGAAGAGACGGGCTGCGTCCATTGCCTGCTCCCTGGATCCAACCACGCATGACTTCTGTGCTGCCCGAATTAAATATTTTATAAATCGTACAACGATTTATAACGTACATTTGAGCTAAATCAAAATAAAGTGGGGATAAATCCGGTGAGAAAATTTGGGGCAGGGATAGGCTGTCGGGCCTTCATTTTGCCCCCTCCCAATAATTTACAAAAATTAAGGCCCCTGGCGCAGGGTTGTAGTTTCCTATGCGGTGGTGGGATGTAGCCCTGATAGTATCTCATAGGTAAGGGACGTAGTAATATTTTTCCAGTGGAGGTGTCAACTTTTCTTCAAAATTTGCGAATCTGGGCCATAGTTCTGCGAAATCACCGGGTATCGAAACGCATATCTATCACTACAGAGGAGTGTAAGGAGGAACGTTCCCATTAGCACTCTGCTTGGTTACGTAACTGCATGGGACCAAATCCACATATTTTGTATTATACCAGGTACCTGCGGAGCACAAATCTTGGAAAAAAACAGCCTGGATAACAGGTCGAGCTATGAAGGCATGGAAACGAGTCTCTTGATAAAAAATCCTTGAACTTCAAAGGAAAAACCTCTCAACCATTTTAACACGCGCTCGGGTGGAGGGACCAAATTGCCCCGAAGGTTTTTCCGGAACAGTTTCCGAACGTCGAGGCGTAGCCAAACGAGATTTTGCATAGCCGTAGACAGTCAAATATCGGATCGTTTGACATTACAAATTAAGATGTACCTTGTAGGGTCGCTGACCTATGACAGGTCAAAGTAAGGTCATGGTTTCAGCGAAATCAATTTCTATGGAATCGTTTAATGTGATGCAACAAAGACGTGTTAGACGAAGCCATACATCTCTGATATGCTTTCTTAGGCAACACAACAGTTATTGAGCAAATTACATTGACCTAAGGTCAGGTATGAATGTCAAACCAAGGTCAAAACCAGCCTGTTTTATTACTCTAGGGCCTGCTGTATGGGGTAGTTTCTGGTGTTCATTTCAAATTTACTGATAGCAGGAACCGCATTATAATCTTCCATGAAATTCTTAGATGTCAGAATAGGCCATTGACCTAAGGTGACCCAGGTCGACATTTGTTTTTCGGAACGTGCTGCCTAGTGTAATCTTTGTCGCTTATTTAATGCAGAACTCAGAGCAGCTTGCATGAATTTGATTACCATGACCTTTAAAAGGCCAAACAAGGTCACAGACTTAAAATGAGGATGTGACCTTTTCCTTAGAAACGGTTATCTAAATTCGGGGGACATTTTGGGGACCAACCCGGAATTTGACCTTGTTTGACCTTATTCGACGCGAAGGTCATGATATAGGAACCTGAAATTTTGACCTAAGTGAGTTCACGTACAGGTGAATACACTCCGCAAATTTGGTGTTTTAGCCCTCTTAGTTCCCGAGATCTCAGGGGGGCAAATTGACCTCCTCACCAGGGCGGAGTGCATCCAGTCGGCCACCCGGGCTCGTGTTAAAGCTGGATGCTGTGTAGGGACGTGCGATAGGCTTTTGCAAACATTCTCAAATGAACAGGGAAGTAATTAGGCGCTGTATCATGTATGACGGGTATCGCTTTTTGAAACCAAACTTGGAAAGCCTCTCTGCCATCTGCGTAGGACTTTTTCAGTGAAAAATGCCCCCAGGTTCAACGTCCAGTTCAGTTTCGGCTCGATGTTTAGTTTTTTTCTAGACACGGTTACATGATTTGCACTGGTTGTGTTGATGGAGATGCTACCCAATTGGGGCTAAACTGGAATGCAAAATAGATGCAAATTGAGACCTCGGTTGTCATGGCAAACGGTTGGTGTTGTCGAT